CAGACAGACTTCCACCATCAAAAATTATGAAACACATAAGGAAACAAGTTACCATGACGAGACTGAGGATAAACAATAACCAACAGAAGTGGACTTCAAAAGACGTCAGATCTTGACATTATTAGATACAGAATATAGAACAGGTACATTTAATATGCATATAAAATAAAAACAGACATCCAAAACATGAAAAAAAAGAGATTATAAAATCTCATGGACAGTACATAAAAAGCAATAACTGTAAACAAACAAACAAAAAAGATGATAAACTGGACTTCATTAGAACTTCCTTTCATTAAAAGACACCATTAAGAAAGTGATGAGGCAAGACACAGGCTGGAAAAAGGTATTCACAATACATATATCAAACCAAAGACTTTCATCCAGGCTATATAAAGAACTCCTATAAATCATTAAAAAATTCAAACAGCTTAATTTAAATATGGGCAAAATAATTCAACAGGCACTTTACAAACAAAGGTATTCAAATGGCCAGTAAGCACATGAGAAGGTGTAAAAGTCATCACTACTCATCAGGGAAATTCAAGTTAAAACCACATTAAGATACCACTCCATCCCCACCAGGATGGCTAAAATTAAAAAGACTGGCAATGCTAAGTGTTGGTAGGAACAAGGAAAAACTAGAACTCTCATACATTGTCAATGCAATTATAAATTCGTTCATCTACTCTGGTAAACTGTTTAGCAATTCAACAGATGCTTTTATGGTTGGTTTCACTACTTTCTCTATGTTGTCTTTAAATGAGCTGAGGTTTTTTTTCTCATTTTAATGTATTCAAATTTTGTCAATCCTTTCTTTAATGCTTGACAATTTTTGTGACCGAAAAAAAATCCTTTCTTGCAGAAGGTCAGTAAAGATATGCTTCTGAATTTATTTCTAAAAATTTCAAGTTTTGCCTTACAGTTTAAATCTTTAATCCACTTGGAACTAATCTAATTTTTTATACAGACAGCCAATTTTCCCAGAACTATCTGCAATACCACCTGTATTATCTACCAAGTTTCCAAGTATACACGGGGCTGTTTCTGGACTCTCCATTCTGTTCTACTAGTCTATTTGTCTATCCTTGCACCAACACCACATGAAATTAATTACTGTAACTCCACAATAGGTACTGATACCTGGTAGTGGAAGTTCCCCAACTTACTCTTCATCTTCTAGAGCATCTTCACTATTCTTGGCCCTTTGCTCACCCATTAAAGTTTTAGCATTAGCTTGTCAAATCTGTGAAAATCTATGTAATTGAAATTGCAATTAATTTATACATTAATTTAAGAACTGACATCTACATTATTGACTCTACCTATCCATGAATATGGTACATTTTCTTCTCTTAGTGTACTGACTAGGACCTCTAGGACAATGCTGACTAAAAGACATGATTGTAGGTATCGTCTTTTCCTGATTTTACAGTAATTTTTTCTCATATTTCACAATTCAGTGTGATGTTAGAACAGATTTTTGGTAACCAATCTTTATTGGGGTTAGAAAGTTTCCTTCTGTTCCTAGTTTGCAAAGAATTTTCATTAGGAATAATGTTAAAATTTATTGGCTATTTTTTTCTGCATCTACTGAGATGATTAGTTTTTCCTTTAATCTATTAATGAGATGAATAATGTTAATAAGTTTTCTAAACTTAATCCACCCTAGTATTCTTTGAATGAATTCAACTTGGTCATGACATATTATCTTGATTATACACTGCTGAATTCAGTTCCAGAGAAAAAAAGAAGGGAGGAAATCAAATAAATAGCACAAGAAAAACTCGGAGAACTATGGGGCAAGTCTCCAGTTTGAAAGTGCTCTGTGAGTGTCCAGCACAACCAGTGACAAAAAGCCTACACCAAATATATACAGAACATCCTAAGCCAGGCTGCTTCATTGCATAACTTCAGGGCTGCCACTCTCATTGTATCTATGTAAATGGTGACCCTGGAATTGTACAATACACAGTCACTCACAGAAACTATAATGGAAACAGTATCCAGAATCTGTGCAACTTGACAGCCTTCTTCCTGAGAGCTACCAAAAAGAAAAAACAGATCGCACACACAAAAATGAGAAACAGAATGACGTCAGAATTTAACAGCAACAATGGCTGCTGGAAGATAAAACTATGACTTGAAAATTCTATGTGAATATTATTTCCAACTTGGAGTTCTATTCTCAAACACTAAATTAAGTGTGAGAATAAAGGCATTTTAGACATACCAGAATTCAGAAAATTTACCTCCCACATGTCTTTCCTTAGATAACTACAATAAAATGATGACGTCTATGATGGAGACATTTTTGATTGCTTCACGGCGTTGATTCCTCCCTTCTTCTCCAAATTTTGTTCAGTATCCAACCTTACCTCACATAGCCTACTATGCTTCAGGGAAACCTGACTCCACCCCCATGTCTAGGGGTAGGCCTGATTAGTATAATTTCTCCTTCCTGACCACACTATAGGTTCAGGGATTCAGGCAAGTCAGTCAATCAAATCATGGCACTGCCCTCAGCTACAGATATTGGTTCAGGAAAGGATGTATGAGATGATTTGGGCCAATGAGACACAAGGAGAAGTTTTCTGGGTACTTTGTGGAAAAGAAGCTTTCTCACTCCAAGACAGTGACCAGAAGAGATGTGCCACGTTTCTCCAGACCAGTGGTGTGCCAGTGGAAGTCTCAAGGTAACTTGGACATTTCATGAGAGGAGTTGCCCTAAGGATAAAGCCAAACCCAAGGAAAACCCAATGAAGGGAATCACAGGGCCTGAGCCACTAGATCAATCCCATTCTGAAGCAAGCCCTATCCCTGGGCTCCCAGTTGACTAAGCCAAGACATATTCTTAGTATTTAAGCCTCCTCTCTATTACCTGCCACTGAAGGCTTCTAGGAAATTGTGGCTCCAACCAGAGTGTATACATAGGAAGGTGAAGAATGAGTGTCCCGGTGAAGTTTAGGGGGCAACTGGCTCAGAGTGGGGAGGGGCCACTAGTTCTCCCTAGTGGGAACTTAGGAGAATGCAAGATATAATGGAGCATTTGGGAAAAAAAAACCCAAAAAACTGAAGATACTATAAAGTAAGACACTACAAAGGGCAAATAAAGATGAGGGGATAACTCCAGGAAAAGTCAAAGACTACAGAAAAAAGGGGATGTAATTACAGTATGATCAGTATGATTCTTGGCTCTTCAATAAATAATATTCATGCAGTCATAGTCAGGTATACTCGGTTTATAGACTTAACCAAAACTAGTGATATGATTACACTGGGAAGATGGAAGGAGAAAAGGAGGAGCAGACAATATTAAAAACCTATTCCTCATCTGTCACAGCAAAAGTGAATAGATTATGTCTAAAATTGATACATTAAGAAACAGTAGTGTATGCTTATCAGAGAAGAAATAATTTCTTCTACTAGAAGAAACTGGAGTCCTGGATGGCGCAATGGTTAAGTGCTCGACTACTAGCAGAAAAGTCGGCAGTTCGAACCCACCCAGAGGTGCCTCAGAAGACAGGCCCGGCAATCTGCTTCCAAAAGGTCATAGCCTTGAAAACCCTGCAGAGCAGTTCTACTCTGCTCACACGGGGTCGCCATGAATCAAAAATCAAAAAGGCAACCACCACCAACAACAACACTAGAAGAAATCGCTAAAAATGTACTAAGTGACTGCCTCTGGGGAATGGAATTAGAAGTGGAAAGATAAATGTTCTTTACAATAAGCTTTTTGGGACTATTTGAGTTAATGCTGCATGTATGATGCATTTATAAAATAAAATATTAAAATGTTTAGTGTAAATAAATAAAAGATGCCTGCTTAGGGGCAAGGTCTGAAAGAAAAATCAAGAGTCCAGATTTATGAGCAGCCATCTAAGACACTCTACTGATCTCACCCCTTCGGGAGCAAGGGAGAATGAAAAAAACAAGACACAAGGGAAAGACTAGTCCAAAGGACTAATGGACCACAACTACCACAGCCTCCACCAGACTGAGCCCAGCACAACTAGATGGTGCCCGGCTACCACCACTGACTGCTCTGACAGGGATCACAACAGAGGGTCCCAGACAGAGCTGGAGAAAAATGTAGAACAAAATTCTAATTCACAAAAAAAGACCAGACTTACTGGCCTGACAGAGACTGGAGAAACCCCAAGAGTATGGCCCCCAGACACCCTTTTAGCTCAGTAATTAAGTCACTCCCGAGGTTCACCCTTCAGCCGAAGACGAGACAGCCCCAGAAAACAAAATGAGACTAATGGGGCACAACAGTCCAAGGACAAGGACTAGAAGACAGGAGGGGACAGGAAAGCTGGTAGTACGGAACTCAAGGTCAAGTAGGGAGAGTGTTGACATGTCGTGGGGTTGTTACCCAAGGTCATAAAACAGTATGTGTACTGACTGTTTAATGAGAAACTATTTGTTCTGTAAACCTTCATCTAAAGTACAATGATTAAAAAAAAAAAAACAGTGCAGATTTATTGGGGTGATTAGATTATAATTACTTTTTTCTATTTATAATTTTGTCCAAATTAAATAACATTAATAATTTTTATACCTTATAGTGTGCATAAAATTAGAAGAAAAAATAAATTAAAAAGAACTGCAGGAAAAAGGAAGATTAGTCCCAAGTCCAGGTGGGCAGGAGCCCTCCCCCCAACTCCGGCTCCACACCTTCCTCCCAGGCATCGAGGAGACATTGGTAACCTGCCCAGAAGAGGCTCCAAAGCTGAGGGCAGGGGCCAGCCACTCCCTGTGGCCAACAAAAGTCTCCTCACTGGCTCCATGCCTCCCTCTCCAGGGCAGCAGATCTCCCCAATGGCCCTGGGTCTCAAAAGCAGGATGGGTCCACAAGGGAAAGGCCACAGCCCATCTGCATGGGAATATTGTGACCAGCCTCCACACCCCAGCCTGGGCCAGAGCCAGGTGGCCCACGTACCTGGGGCTTAGGTCTCTGTCCAAGGTGCAAGTGGGCAGGGGGAGAGGTTACCTACCACATGAGTCGCAGATGAAACAGTCCGTGTGATAGAGGCTCCCCATTGCCTGGCACGCCTGCCTGGCTCCGTAGATACCAAGCCCACACTTGATGCAAATGCCTGTGGGAAGAGGCAGGAGAGAGCAGTGGTTAGCACCACAGACTGGGAGTCAGATGGACATGCATCCAGCTCCCGGTTCTGATGCTGACACCATCTGACCTGGGCAGGTTAACTTGCCTAGGCCTCCGACACTCAGTTACATATGACTAACCTGGGGACAATTAGGGTTTGCTGCTGTTGTTTTGAGGATTCAAAAAGCTCAGCAGAGCACCTGGCACTGGGTCAGAGCCACCTGACGCTGTCCTCACCGTCATGATTATTATCATATACTTATGCCTGAACAGTCATTCTAAGCCCCTTCACCCATGACCTGCTCTTGGGCCAAGGGAAAATCCTTTCCTCTGTCTATGAACCAAATCCTATTCTTCAAAATGAAAACACGTATTTTCTGCTACAAAGAATTAAGACCACACAGGCACACCCCACGAGAGAGTCACTGACCCTCCCCAGCCACATTTTCTTCCTGTGTACCATAACCAAAAACCAAACGGGTTGCCGTCGAGTCGACCCCGACTCACAGTGACCCTACAGGACAGAGTAGAACTGCCCATAGGGTTTCCAAGGAGTGGCTGGTGGATTCAAACTGCCGACCCTTCAGTTAGCAGCCAAGCTCTTAACCACTGCACCACCAGGGCTCTGTACCATAAGTCGGCTTATTGTCTTATTCATTCAGCACACAGACACTGGTGGCCTGCGACAACCTCAGCACAGTTTAGATGCTGGAGATTCTGCAATGCACGAAACAAAGGCCCTACCCTCAAGGAGCCTGCATTCTAGTGGAGGGAGATAGACGACGACAGTTCAATGCAGTTAAATAATATGTCAGGTGGAAACTCGTGCTATGGAGAAAAAGATATAACTGGGATTGCTGGAGAAGGCCCCACTGACAAGCTGATATTTGAACAAAGGCCTAAAGGAAATGAGGGAAGCCGGTATGCAGGTATCTGGGATTGTTTAGGAAAGCAGGGACCACCTCTGACAGCACAAGCCGGGCGGCTGAGCAGGCAGGGAGGCGAGGGAGGGGAGGAGAGACCAGTAATGGCAGGTGTCCTAGGGGACCTCCCTGGCTGGCCCTCCTGGAGACCCAGACAGTGGGAAGCCAGTCACACCCCTTCACAGAGTTACCCAGGGTCTCCCACACCCCACATGGCATGAAGATGGGCTCCATCTGCCCTCTGGGTCCTAAATTTTCTGGCTGCTATAGGAAACGGGGCCCTCATCCTCTCCCCCCTCCTTTCCACCAGATCCCCCTCCTTAACACAGAACAATGCTCAAGCCCCTCCCACTTGAAAAGCCCCTCCCGCCTTCAGCAGCCCCCCCATTCCCCTCTGCCCTCACTCAAGAAAGATCAGTCCATGCTTGGTCAGCCTTAAGGGTCTAGTTCTATGGACTGTGAGTTCAGATCCTGCTAGAGGGTGGACCATCCCCTCCTCGTTGGTTTCTAGGATACAACCTGCACCTGGCCTTCTGTTTCTTCTTCCGTCCCAGCTCTGCTGGATATTCCCCAGCTCTGTCCTGAGCCTCCCATGCCTCAGGCTCCCCCAGGAGAGCCAATTCAGATGCCCTCAAATCCAGGCGGGAATGTAAAGGCGGCCTGGAGGGGACCTGGGTGAACGAAGAGAGCACCAGTGGCCACCAGAGGCTGCAGCCATACCTCGGCTCTGCTGACAGCTACCGGACGGAAGCAGGCCCGGCACTGCCACAGAGCCTAATTTTTCAAGAAGAACTAGGAATCTTGACATCTATGTGAAATTCTTCCATACTGAAACTAATTACTATCTTAAATGTTTTGAAAACGCAGGGGCCAAAGAAACCAAGTCTACAGATCTCCCCATGGGGTGGAGGAAGTCTCCCAACTGTTGGCCTCTGCCCAGGGCTCCTGCTGACAGCCCAGACCTCTCTCCTGAGACACAGATCCACCTCCCGGACTGGCCCCAGAACAGAACACCTGCGTGTCTGGAACAGAGCTCCGGATTCCTCACAAGCTGCCTCCAGACTCTCCTAAGGACATGGCCCTTTGATGTACCTAGGATCCAGGGAGCACCCAGGTCTTGCCTCTCTTCCTCACATCCAACTCAGAGTCTCGGCTCCTCGGCTCCCTGGTCTTAATTTCATCCCCTCCCCTCATCCCCGCCGGCCTGATTCAGAGTATCACCAATTCTCGTCTGAACAGCTGCTCTTACAACAGCCTCCTCAGCATGTCACAGCCTGGTGCCCAATAACCATCCCCTCAACTGCAGCTGGACTTAACGTTTCTAAAGAGAAAACGATCTACCCTCACACCTCACTCTTCTCCGTTAGCTTTGCGAACCTAACCTTGTCACTTCTCGGATTAAGTTACCAGGAGAACTGGTGAAAGCAGTAAAGCTTTGGAGGCCTCTGGGAAGGATGAGAGATGGGCTATTATCTCTTATCATTAGCTTTTTGGTTCCGGTTGATATTTCTAAATATGTGATTGTATCACTTTAATTAAAATACATTAAAGAAGCATGAAGTACCTCAGAATTTAACAGAATGAGACGTTTCAAGGAAAGCAAACTCTACACATCAGACACAGCAGTGAGGTCCGGACGAAAGAGGCCTGGAAAACACTACTCACTGGGCAGGGGCTGGAAGTCACCAGGGTCCTGTGCAAGAGCCGTGTCGGTCAAGTGAGAGGAATCAGGGCAGAAAGCAGGCAACTGAGGAGAAACTGGGAGGCGAACAATCAAGACATTGGGATGAGAAGAGGATGAGAGGAAAGGGCTGAGGAGATTTTGTGGTCATGGAAGTTTGGGGGTTTTACTTTTTTTTTAAATGAAAAAGCTTTGTACGTGTTTATAACCAAAGGGCAGAGTCAGTGGTAAGAGGGAAGATGAAGATGAAAGAGGTGGAGGCTGGGGATGGAAGGACCTGCTTCCTCTGGGATGGAAGGACCTGCATTCTCTGGGATGACAGGAGAATGAGGTTGGACGTGGTCTTGAGAGAGCCTCCAGGTGAGGAACAGGAAGCCCATGGAGACAGACTGCAGCCTCAACTCTCTCTGGGAAGTAGAAGGAAAGGGCAGGGGTTAGAGGAGAGAGAAGGGTTGTTGAGGGAATAACAGAGAGCTAAGGATACGGGTGAGGGTGGTGCCAGGAAGACCACTGAGGTTGAAGACCATCAATCTGCGGCAGCCCCGGGGGTTTCCTCAGCAGCCCCTCACCACCTGGTATAGCAGCAGCAAAGGGGGCTGCAGCCCTGACTCAGAGCCAGGGTTCTGCTGGGCTGACAGTGATTAGAGGAACCACAGTTAGCAGTGGGACACGGGCTGGGGTCAGAACTGAAGACTGGTGAAGAAAACACGCTGCGGTCCTGAGAGTGGGTGGCTGAAGGAAAGGCAGGAGGTCACCAAAGTTAACAAGGTTCTGGATGGCTGCCGGCTGACTGATGACAGCAGAACCTGGGGAGGAGAGACCAGATTCCAAAGACGTCCACAAATGGCAGAGAGGGACCAGAAGGTCAGCTGATGCCAGGGCCAAGGAGAGGAAGAAGTGGCACGGAGAGAAGAAACACACTCCGACGGTGAAGTTTATGAGATCACTTGAGCTCACACTACCTACAGACTTGCTTTTACTAAAATTTTGTGTTATTTAGGTTGAACTGTATGAAAATGCCACTTTCGTGGCTCAAAAAGGTCAACTATCCACAGTACATATTTCAAGGAAATCAGCTGCCCGTATTTTAAAAGATTAGGAAAATATCGCCTAAATCTGAATTTCTGGCTTGTCTTGAAAAACCAAACACCTGTCATCACTCCCCTCACACTCCCACATGTGGCTTCAATGGGCTAGAGCCGGGCAGCAGCTCCTCTTTAGAAACACTGACCCACGGCCCCTGACTGTCTTTTAGCATCGGCCTTTTCACGCTTCTCACTACCTGCCTGGGTCTGCTTCACACAAGGATTCCTGAGCAGATATGGAGGCCCACAGAATCTACCCTCTAGGCTCTGCAGTGTGTGGGGTGCGGGACAATGGGTAGCTTCACCTGAAGAGAGTGCGCTGGAAAGTTCTCTTCAGAAGACAGCCCGGCTTCTGTTCCTGGCACGAGAGACCACAGATTCCTAACTCATCTCTCTGCTCCCAGGCCACCCAACAGCAGCCCTAAGACTTGCCAAACCACCAATTCTCCCCCTGCCATTTTCCAGATAGACCCGAAACCCTTCAGGGTCTCCTACCCCAAAGGCAGCAGGCCAACCCCTTTGGCCCACACATGCCCTTAACCACGTGACCCCTCCTGGGCAGTACATTCTTGTTAGTGTTGTTAAGTCAGCTCCCACTCATGGCAACCCCATGGACAACGGAAAGAAACGCTGCCCAGTCCTGCACCATCTTCACCATCACTGGCATGCTCGAGTCCACGACTGCAGCCACTGTTTAAGTGCCTTTTCAATTTAGGGGCTGGCTCATCTTCCAGTATTATACCGGACAATATTCTGTTGTGATCCACAGGGTTTTCACCGGCTAATTTTTGGAAGTAAATCACCAGGACTTCTTCCTAGTCTGTCTTAGTCTGAAAGCTCCACTGAAACCTATCCACCATGGGTGACCCTGCTAGTATTTGAAATACCAGGGGTATAGCATCTAGCATGATAGTAACACTACAGTAAACATCCTTACTTCCCTCCTTTTGCTCATTCTTTCTCTGCCAGGAATGAATCTGGCCTCATACGGCCTCACGACTCTCAAGATCCAGTTCTGGGCAGCCCTGAGCTGCTAACTGGAATGAATGCGTGAAAGACAGAAAACCCAGGGGAGCCTCAGTCCCAGGCATGGTAACCACCCACTTCCCTCCAGAGCCAAGTGCTTCAGCCTTCCTGCTTCTCAAGAGGGAAGGAAGGGAAGCCCCTTCCCCAGGCATCACAGTACTTCTGTCCCTCCTCCCAGAACCTCTAAGAGTTGTAGAACGGACTAGGGATCAGGGGTCAGGGCCAGACTGGGAAATGGAGGCTGTCAGAGACCGATGGGTTTTGCCAAAGCGTGTGCATCAGGATTGTTTGGAAACGTCCCGTATACACAGCATGGGCGAGAGCGAGAGCAGCCCAGCGTGACCGACTGGATCCTTTCTGTCCCACTCCCACCCCTCAACCCCGCCCGGGAGTGGCCTTACCCTTCCTCCCACACTCTCTACCTCTAGACCCCATCATTCCCAAAACCTCAGGTCAAGCGGGGCGGGGCTTGGACCGCTCCTCCTCCCTTCTCCTGCCTACACCCCACGCTGAGGGGAGGGGGCACCGGGTCGACGGGGGTACCTGGGTAGATAGGATTAGTAGAGGCAAATGCCAAAGGTTAAGAAAAAAAAAAAAGACCAAAAAATAGCTTATTCTATTAACCTGGTTTTTCTCCAAGTTAGGAAACAGGGCATCAACACACTTTGCCAGAACTTTCTGCAGCCTAACGACCTAACGGCGAAGCCGCCTATTCTAAATAAGCCCCAGACCTGGCGGTTCATGCTCACAACCCCTCTGGAAAAAAATGCTGCCGGTCCCCAGCCCCACGGGAGACACGGCTCTCCCATCCTGGCCCCGCTTACAACGCCAAGCCCCGGCCCACCCCGAACTCTCCTCTGCGGGGCCAGTCGCCTCTCCCGTGCCGTCCCGACCCTCGGTGCGGTGCGCGACACGGCCGAGCTCGCTCACCGAAGTAGTCCCGCGCCGTGCGCGCCTCCAGCGCCCGCTCCAGCTCCCGCGTAAGCACCTCCAGCCGCCGCTCTGCCGCGCTCGGGCCGCCCTCCCGGCCCGGGGGCAGCTGGAGCGAAGGCAAAGGGAAGGGGGCCTGTCCCGCAGGCTCCGGGGAGCGAGCTGGCGCCAGGCAGGCTCCAGAGAGCAGCAGGTCGGCGTAGGCGCCGGCCGAGCCGCGGGAGCCGAGACTGGACACGCTGGAGCGGGCGCTGCCCACCGACGGCGGCCCGAGGCCGGGGCGCGGGTCCGAGCGGCCAGAGCGCGGGCTGCTGTGG